CTGTCACTGCAAACTGAAGTGAAACTAGAGTTATTTTGCAGCCAGCTAACCCATGGAAGTTGCATGTGACCAGTTCCATCATAATGATCCACACTTTCATGGGTCTTACATTGCAAGTCACCATTCTTAATTAAAAAAAAAAAAACCTGAGAGCACAGATGCCAAGTTAAAATTATAAGACTTTTTTAAATAAAGATGGCTGTCATTTTACCTGAAAGTATTACACACGAACACTAGCGATGCTAATTCCTTTGATGTGCTACCCTCGACAGGGTGCTTGGAGAATCGACTCTGAGGGTGTGCATTACTTAAGTGATATTGTATCCCCTTGATAAGGAAAGCAATCCCGTTGACGAGACAGTGTAACATGCACTACAAAGGAGGGAGCCTGCACCATTTCTCTGTGTAAGTCTTTGATGGAATTAAAAACTCTGGCAGCTCCTTGCTTCCAGCACCACATTTGTTTTTACACACTGACGTGTGTCATGATTGCCGCACATTTATATTAATGCTTATGTTACACTTAAGGCCATAGTTTGGTATAAACAAGTATTTGATACAATGCCAGAATTCTGAGCTAATCACCACTGAAATGTTAAATCCAGGCAGTGTTCACTAGCTGACACATTTAACATCACTGAAACCTTTATCTTGCTCATCATGAAATTGCATTTTGGGATGTCAGAAATTAAAATAGTCAATTGAATGCAGCAGCTTTTTATGCTGCTTTATTCTTTATCCCAGTGAAAATTATTTATTTAACTTGTCCATTTCCCATGGACAGGTCACAGCCCAGAACAATTCCACCAAAACAAACTGTAAACAACACAGATTTTACAGTTCCATTCCCACAGCATCACATTTTGATCTTTGACCTTTGTTGTTTGCAACAACGTGTTCTTACCCTGGCATCGGTCACTTTGAACTCTCTCAGGATGTACTGGGGCATGTTATATTCGGCCATGGGATCCACTACAAAGTACTGGTATCTGGCTGACCTCTCTGCTGGCCAGTACTGGTGGCATTTTTCCTGTAGAATGAAAAAACATCACAATGAGCCACAACATACCAGCTTCACAGAGCTCGTTCCCAGATTAAATTTTTTTTTAACAGGTACAGGATTCAATTCATACTTCATATACTACTAGGAAGCGTGGTTTTGGATGAAACTATGGATGGTATTTCATATAGAGCTGGTTGTAACATGTGCCTCTGTGTTATGTAGCCAGACAAATAAGGTTGATGCCAAAACTAAGAGAGAAAATAAGCATATGCTTACCCTGCCCATTTCTCTAAGCTTGGTGAGCATAACAACAATAGTAGAGTTGTGCTCCCAGAGCATTCTCCAGAAGTCTTCTGTGGTCTCTGCTAGAGGTCCTTGTGTGGCAACGTAGGCTTTCTGTTGCCTGTGGGGAACAATTGCAAACACAATGAAAAAGGTGTAACAATTTGTGTGGATATACACACTTTGACTGTGAATAGTGTGAAGATGAAATAGAGATGTAGACAGAGCCGTATTTGCTTATTTTATGTTATTTTTAATATGGAGTGTTGCATCTGCTTTGTAATGGGTGTGAGAGTACGTGCACATTTACCTGTAGCCATCAATGAAGCTGGCATTGATGTAGTCTGAACCCTCAACTCCTCGAATGGGCTGAAGACACACTCGTGTGGACTCGTATGGCATTATGTTAACAAGGCGGTTCTTGAACTTGTTGCAGGGGAGATTGGCACTGATGAATCGTGATGTATGGGCTTTAGTGTTGGCTAAACGCTGCAGGGGAGAAAGAGAAGAAGAGAGATCTTTGAGGATATTCATACCAGGCAAAGAGCACTGACAATCTGGTTATTGTATGTCCTTGGGTACCGACATTGAGGCATAATAAGCGACACATAGTGGGTGACAGAATTTGTACTATAATGGCTCATAGTGAACTGTGGTTGCATACTATTTCATAAAGTATGAAAGGGGCATTAAAGTGATTACTATCACAGCTTGCTTTTGCCTGAATAAAGCATGTTGTAAGATAACACTAATATCATTGTATGCAGTGCGGTGGCATTTTGTGTAGCAGCCCTCAGAAAACAGCAGCAATAAGAACACGAAATAAAGATTGTTATAATGAAACGACAGGGGAGTGGATGCTAAAACGAGCCTGGAGTATCCACAAGTGCAGTGTAATCTATCCTGTTTATCATCTCTAAGTGGACTCAGTATCAATCACAGAGCGAGAAAGTAGGTGTGTGACAAGCAAAGCAATACCATAAATGCAGCAACATCACACACAGCAAAAAATCTGATAAGGTTGGTTGAGCCTCTCATTGTAAATATGGAGTATATTGCTCAACTCCCCTCTGGCAACTGATCTGTGGTGGGAAAAACTCGTGTTTGGTGTTTTCATGTAAACCAAGACCCTTGTTAGTCAAGGAAAAAGAATTATGGGAAAGTGGAAACCAAAAGAGGCAATTTATCCTCTTTTGGGTTACACAAGTGAATCAGCTAACGGGAATAACGAGGAAACCACAGGCCCCATGCTGTCTAGCATGCCTAATGGGAACTGGAAAGAGTTGCGTTATACTGGGAATGGTCAATCATTGACGCTGGGGCCTGCAAGTGATGCGGAAGATGGGATGCCTGTGAATTCTTAATACATATTACAGCGACTTGTAGCACTTTACATCAAGTGTGGTTTGCAATATTCAGATTATGCTGTAGGAATTTAAGGCTAAGACGGTGCCTGACCCCAACTGTTTTGTCCACTGTGTTGGCTTCAGTAAACAGTTTGTACCTTGAACTCAAGTTCCATGCCGGTAACATTCTCTCCACCTTCTATCTGTGTCAGTTTCTGGATGTAGGCATAGAGGTTTCTGGCGGGCACTTCTGTGGTGCCACAGTTGACAGCCTCCTGGAGCGCGTCATGTATGAAGACGTACTGGTCTTCTGTCTGCACCATGTAGTTGCGTTGGGCACGCATTAGCGTTACGTGCCCATAGATGTCAACAGTCTTCTCATGTTTGATACGTTCCAGCATGGCATCGATCACGATGAAGCAGCCTGTGCGTCCCACACCAGCACTGCAGACACAGAGATGACAGAGAAGGAAAAATGTCTTTAGGTGTTCTCAGTAGTGGCTGTACTAGAAAGGTTGTGTCCATTGTACAATTCACAAACTTTATGGAAAAACTAAATAGTTTGAGCTTCTTTATCTTAACCTTGGCTACACCAGTCTGCATTTGCTCTCCAGTGATAGAAGTGAGGAGCAGTCCAGTGGAGGGAGAGATGTCTTTTCTAAACATGAACAGTAATTTGAAGAACTCCCTTTTTCCAGTGATGAGGCCAAAAGATGAATTCTCCGTGCAAAGTTTGCTGCTGTAGGATGTACCGTTTGACGTGGAGAGTAATTAAATCTGAAGTGGCACTGTGTGGAGGAGAGGGCTTGGCAGTCGCAGCCTTCAGCAGGCTCATTGCTGGCTTTGCCATCTAGTCTCTCCCCTCTGGACTTCATCTGTGCTCTCCAACCCATCAGAACTAATCACTTATGCAACAGCAACATTTAACCTTTATCTCATAGTTCTGAAAAGTGCTCCTACAACAAATGCTCCAACAAATATGGATAACACAGTCAAATTTTCAGAGTAGGGTTTTGTTAATGTGCCACAAAACTTCTGAAGTACAGCTGACTTCAGTTAATGCCACTGGATTAGCACTGTGTGCCTAAATGGCATAAAAGCTTTAGAAGAGGCACTGAAAGGCAGGCCTCTTCATTAGGATTCACATCTGCACATTTTCACATTTACCTGTTAAAAAAAATACACAAGTGAAAGAAGCACTGACAAAGAGGATGTTGTACTGTTGCTTTTTGACCTCTTCTTGGAGCCCAGCTTGAGACGTGTTGTATACATGTAGCCATCCTTTTCAGACTGCTGGCAGTGTAAAACTGCTCACCCCTGCACATGAAGTTTCAACAATGCATGCCTCAGCACAGAGGATGTTTTCTGATGACAGTTTATTTACTGTGGGGTGACAGGGTGGTGTTAAATCTTGTTTGTTAACTCTCCACTCACCTTCTACAAACCACAGCACTGATAAGACAAGTCCTTGAACTTGGCTCTCCAGAGTAAATAGGTTATTAAATCTATTCAGCTGACATGCCTACGAGGTGTGAGCTATGCTCTTCTCCTTCTGATGGAGCATTTGTTTTTCATTTGCTCTAAGGAACAGGGAAAGGGTTGGGAAGGAAGACTCAAAAGGGAGTGAAGTTAGTCCCCGGGGCCAAGTCTGGTTAATGTGCCATGTTGCATTGGAATGGTGCAGCAAATGGAATAAAGATGCATAAGGGAGTCACTGGCTTTAACAAAGGATCTAATGATAATTTTCAAAATGGCTGACATTGGCTAAATGAGACTGAACTCTCTTTTTTTTTTTTTCTTTCAACAAAACTCCACAGCTCCAGGGAGATTACAAATGTGCACGTGAGTGAAACAGAGAATCGGTCTCTGAAGAAATGTGAAAGTGACTTGAAGAATGAGTCACTTCCAGGTTTGTTTGCGAGGACGCAGAATGCGGAAGAGAATGTTCCCTTAACCCCAGTTGTTGCCAATTTGAAAACATTTTACAGTGCAGACCTGAGTGTGGGAGAGTGATGACCTGTGAGAGAGTAAGTGACAGTGACAGCACTAAGCTAGAGAGGTGAAGAATGAAGAATGGGGGAGAGAGGTGAGGAGAAGGAAGGTAGTTGTCATGCAGGGTGCTTCCCCTTATTTTGGCATTGTGTAGTTCTCAAGTTGTTTTTGAAAAGACTGAGCTGCAGGAATGTATGTTAACCATACATTTTCCTTAAGTAATATTCCTTTACGAACAATCGATGGTGCACGTGTATGTGATTGGTGATGCAGAAAGCTGTCGGTACATTTGGCAGTTGAAGGGGAGCTGGCGGACTGACGGCACTAATGACCTGACATTGCCTTTTCAGCTAGTCAAGACCAGCTGCTTTGAATGTCGACACACATTAAGTGTTAGATGCTTTCCAGGAGTTTAGGGAATAGGAGATGGAGAAGAGAGCGTGCGGTGTAAAATACAGCTGCAGCGACTCTTGAGAAGATAAAGCATGAGCAGCAGAGAAAGCAATTACATACGTATTGTTACCAAATCTCTTGCTGTCAGCTAACTTGTTACCATTTCCCTTCTCTGCCTATTGAACACACAAATTCAAACTCACCAGGATCACTGTGTAGCTGTTGGGCCCGATAGTAATTTTAGTCTTTTGCATATATGAATACTTAACAAAATATGGAAAATACAAAAATTCACTGATTTGCACCTTGGAGATGTAGAATTTTGTTCTTTCACACAGGCTTTACCACTTCACAAACTAGTGGCGAGTTGTGGCTGTTGATCCTTCAACAGTAGCATGTAGCTATGCCATGATGACAGGGAGGTGGAGGTTTGCAGCAGTAATCTGAGCTGTCCCTTTCCTTCCTTTTATTAGAATCGATATTGTTATTTGTTGTGTGGTAAGTGTGTAATGGAAATGAGGAGACGTGGGCATGTTAAGTTTTTTCACCAGTGTACCAGGTACTGTGCGCCCCCGTGGTAATAAAGTTTCCTGAAGCCAGATTTAAACTTGTGCTTCACTGCACGTATGGGAACGTGCATCTTGTCATTCAAAGACAGTTGCATAGCTGTTGCATTTATACCTGTTCTAACTAGGGGGCGCTCAAATAGCAAAGTACAGAAAAGAAGAAGTCTGGAAATGAGAGATTTTGAGCCAGGCTCAAAGATGTTAGAGTTTTCATCCTAGAACTGGTGTTATGCCACTTTATTGCTGATATTTTTTCAGGTGAGGAAGTAACAATTTAGACTGAGAATAGGTGGCCAGTCTAGCCAAGTAATGTCGTTTGCTCCGACCTTCTCAGAGATGCAAGTACCTGCTAGTGGACAGAATCGGGTCAGCCAATCAGTATACATGATTCGCAGACCCGCACAGCACATAGTTGAGATTTGGGAGGCGTGTGCATCGGGTTGTCTGTACCCATCAGCAACCTACGTTTACCCGTAAACCGCTTTGTTGGTATGTGTCATTGCCTTTGCGTAGTTACGGACAAGTCTAAAATGAGCACAACACTAAACTTTGTGGTATATGATGGCTTTGATGGTCAAAGTGGTGAAGCCAGTGCTAAAGAATGACCCCAACCAAATCTTGTATGGAAGAAAAGCAGTGTTGCACTAACCGCCATGAAGTCAGCTGGTTGTGATCAGGTGTGGTCTGCTATAATTGTGACCACACTCGTTCTTCACTCTGTTTTGCTTGCATGCAGGCAGTTTGTGTGTGTTGTTCATAACCAACTTAATTGAAAGCAGTTACAGCAGCTAAGACTGAATTTGTATTATGCGCTGGCTACCACAATGATACACAGTAGTAGAGAACTACTAACGCTTCTCTCAAATCTATAGGGCTGTGTGAAATGTTGAACACTGGAAAGACTGGTGTCTAACATTAGGTGAACATCATTCTAAAGATAAAACGTGATAAACAGTCACTGCTAATTTTCTTACATCTGTCATCAAGATTCAAATTTGTGCAAATGAAATCAATTATATGGATTCTCCAGTGATGCGTATGGCATAAACATACATTATAAATTTAGCTATAGTGCATAGACACTTGTCTGATCATCATCTTTTAGTGGGTAAGAGGTTGAATGGTGTGAGGACCTGGAGGGCCCATATTCTGCAGATACTGACGGTGATAAATGAACGTTTATAATTAGTGATTTATAAAGAATGGGAATGGTTTACAGATAATTTTGAGCAGTTCTGAGCTGTCATAACTCTAAGAAAGAAATCTAGAGCCCTTAATCGCTTATTTTTATGGCTTAATGGTCTTTGTCTAAGGGATGTGCATACATGATAAACTGCAATCTTTTGTGCACCAAACTAATTAGTCATCCACTCAAGAAACTGTGCCATGCAGTTAATTATGGGCAGTAAAAGTCTTGTTTTTAGCTTGTATTAAAGCCTTTTTGTGGTGCATAATTTTCTTCAGCAAAGTAAAACCTCTGTGCTGGTTTTTACAGTACAATTTATCTTTATCTACATTATAGAAAACTGTAACATTGCTTTGAAAGCATGCAACTACAAAGGATTCCTCAATTGTGGTCAAACATGAAGTGAGGAAATGCCTCTTAAAAGGGTTGGAGCTTGGAAATGACTGCATCTAATAGGGAGCCAGGAGAATTAAAGCATCCATCTGCAGACTGACATTAATTCCTGCATTCTGCTTCACTGTAGTTTGAATTTTCAATTTGAAGTTATTCAGCAACTAGCTATAATTAACTTCGGCAAGTGGCAGTTCTAATTCCTCAGTAATCCCTTTTCTTTTTGTCATATCTGACAGAAGTTTGTATCTGTTACACTCACTATCACAGTTTCTTTGTTTGTTTTTTTTTACTGTTTTTTCTTTCCTGTTCACTCACTCGATTCCTCTGTGCACACCCTCCGATGACTCCCCGAGTTGAGAGGAGCCAGAAGTCTCTGCTGTATTTTTGTGCCTCTCTGCTGGGAGTCTGGTCGCTTCTGTAGCTGAGTGAAGTGAAGCTGGTGTGGAAGTGGAAGTTATTTGTTTCAGATGCAGTAACCCAAGGGATAAGCCAAGAACTTGTGGGCTGCTGATATGCGACATGCTTGTGGTGTAGCGAGGAAAAACGTCAGGGCCATGCGTGTTTGTGTGTCAGTGTGTGGGAGGAGATGTTTAAGTTTGCTGAGGGCAATGTATTGTGATGTTGAAAACACCTTCAAATTTAAAGTGCCTTCTGTGAAAGCTAGTGGGCTGATTTCCTTTGGCTACAGTGGATCAGTTTAATTCCTTTCAGCTGATGTCATTTAGCCCACATTTTTTCTTGTCATGTCTGATCGCTTCCAACAATTGCTAGGAGTACATGACTCATGTGTCTTATCCTCTGTATTAATATTTTCATAACAACAAATGCAGAGAAAAAATAAATTTCATGCTATGGGATTTTTTTTTTTGTGTGAAAACATGTTATTTCTTACCTGCAGTGTACCACCATGGGCCCCGCATCTGGAGGATTGCAAGCTTTGACTCGCCTCAGGAAGGCCAGGAACGGAGTGGGATGCTCTGGTACTCCGTGGTCTGGCCAGGCTGTGAATTGGAACTGTCTCACCTCTCTCTTCTCACTGGAGCCATTCTGAACATGAAGATGGAGGAAGGTAAGTGACCACTCAGTTAGTCTCATCTCAACTACCTGGCAGCTATTTGGATGTCTAAGTAGCTAGTCTAAACAAATAGCATCTTACTTTAAAAAGTGCAAATGTCCTGACACAGTATGTGGCCAGCTCTACTGTGTCTAGCAGTGTCACTTGGATGAGACCGTAGGTTTCTGTCCCTCGTGTGGGCCAGTACTGGTCACACTTCACCTGCGATTGAGAGAAATATCACATTAGACGAGGGCTGTGTGTGAACTCTTTCTCCTTTTATAATTAAGAACAGATGAGTCTGGATTAATTTTTCCTCAATTTTATATCTTTTATCCATTTGAGGTGTTTTTACAAGATATGTGTCTTAACAGCACCTTGCTTCACATTCAGTTATCCACAGAGACAGTTAACA